TTAGGTTTTAGCACAAAATCCAAGCTTAAGCACGAGAACGGACTCATGAATATGGGCAAGATTTTGTTCATGATAGAATATAAACTGTAAATTTCGGAAACCTCTTTTTGTTTGTTGAGTAGCAATTGTTCCTGTTGATTTATTGGTACTTGTTTGTATTTTAAATAAAAATAAAATCAAAGAGTGGTTTGAGAAATAACTTTGGGAAGTTGTCACTGTCCTTTTTTTAAATGGGGAGTGTTAGGTTTATATTAGACTGGCCACCAGCCCCTAAGTATTCATGAAGAATTTCTCGACTGCATTTTACTACTAGCTTATCTCCCCCTAGTTTAGAACTTAGGATCAGACATCCAAGTGATCAAAATTATTAGAGTTAATTTTTTTCTTCTTAATTATTTAATATTCTAGAGACGGTGGCCAGTCTAGGTCTTTATGAATGTTTCTCTTTTTTTCACAGGCCCAGAGAAAACGGAGAACGTTGCTAAATATATATCTTGGAATTGGTCAGCTTCCAAAACAGAGTTGACATTGATATGTTAAGCGAGATATTTTCTCGTCCATCAATGTCAATAATTCTAATGTAATTTCCCATTCAAACACATAAATCAGAACAGGGCCAGGTGAGAGACAAGCGTATAACTGACCACGTCATTATCGGGGTCAGGCGTATGATTGACGCCAAAGGGGCAGGCTCATGGGCACCTGACCGAGCTTGTCGAGTTCCGGAGACCATCATTACAGCGTATTACCACATCTCGCCTTTCTTATAATTACCGCCTCTTCTACTCCCAGAATGGGCGGCTCTCACCTGGTCCCGCCCGAGACTGGTTTGGCGACACGAGAACGTGGGATCAGGGCTGCTATTATATCATTCTCTGGACATTTGTAAACGCAGGGAGGAGACTTAATTTAGTTAAACAGAAAAAAGGTGGAGAAACTGTCAGGGCGTTTATGTCTTAAAAATTAACAAAGCGATATAGATTTCCAGGGAAATGAAGGTCAGCTCGGCGTTACACGTGTTTGTTTAAATTGGTTCTGTATCAGATACCAAACACGGGCATCAGCTTTGAGGTTTTTTTATGGGTATGTTAATGATGCCGTGGTTGTATTAATGAAAATAGCAGGTATTATCTCAAAAACAGCATCCCAAACACACAGGGCTGAGCCATTAGTGAAGGACGGACCCACCCTCCCGACTCCCTATACACAACAAATGAGATTGTGGACCGTCTTCAACAACATATTATTTTGATAAACGGCAAAAAATGATAGCGTTCACATCACAGACAAACGGCGTGTTTAGGTAATACATTTCAGTAAATAATGTTTTTGTTCACATCCACTCGTTTTGTTCTCACAGTTATTGACAGCGAGGTCCAAGATGGTACCCTCAGATTCCCAGCAAACGACGGTGCTAAAAGGTCGACTTTCCCGCTCTTTGGTAACAGATGAGGGTGTCCGTAATATGTTGCCCCCTCCCCTTCTCAACAACCCTTATTCTAAGGTTTTGCACCCACATACGAACGAACGAATCCTAAATGTTAACCCCCTCCCCTGGCGCCTTTCTTCCCCTGATAACCACACCAACATATTGAAACTCCATATTGACGTTTTGCCTTCTCATTCAACCCTTCTCCTATGATTCAAGACGTTGTGTCCTACCCTCGGTTCTGCCGCCAACACGCGGCGCTGTTCAAGAGTGTGTTCCTCCCCTCTGGTTGTCACGTCCGTCATACGAATTGGTTTCGGGGTGATGCAGTTTCCACGAGTTCTCACGATTGAATGCGATATGGATACCTGTGCTGGAGACGCAATTCTTCGTATCTTTTTAGAGCACATATACAAATGACTTGAACATGTGACTTTTATCCAAAACTGCGACCTTAGCTTGACTGTCTATCTCGTCAGTTCGTCCTCGGTAAACCCAGGCAATACTTGTGAAACATTCGAAGTAGATTTACGAGATGGTTAATCTGGTGATAATATTGCAGTCTTATTGGTGTTTAATGACAGTGTTCACACGGGCTACACGACCGCCCGGAGACTTTCAGTCCAACAGGCTTATCGCCGCTGTCTAAATCAAATATGCTCGCATCTCTAATGTCCTTCTAGTACATTGATTTGTGTACCTATGTGTCATTGTTATCTTTGTAGTACTATGTAAATCGTCACTTTTGAGGGAACGAAATTATGAATGAATGTATGTTACCGTCTGGGTCTCTAAGACTTGACTGGTGACATGCATACATCACCTTCGTCAACGTGTAATATCGTTTTTCCTTCAAAGTACGTACTATATATATATATCATATATGTTAAGTCATCCTTTTTATAGGGAAACACGTTTATTTGTTTCCCCAAGTTTAATCACGTTTCACAAGGGTGCGCTATAAAGCGCTAGCGCGTATCCTCAATCCAAGGGAACACGTGGTCTATAGCGCCTGTAATCAGTTCAGGAAGCATGTGGTCAATAGCGCGTGTACTCAAATCAAGGCAATAGTGGTCTACAGCTCGTATATCGCTATCAAAACGGTTGAACCGGTTAGACCAGAGTTAATCGTTTATGATATAAGGTCGGACCAAGTAATCTGATGCTGCTTTCAGACGAGCCTTGTCAAAGTCTTGCAAGGCTTGCATAAACATTTGCAGGTCCGTCAGGTTTTAATCGAAAATGTTGCATTTTAAATTAGACAAACCAGGTTGATCAGCATAAACGAACAGGCCGGATACTCAATCCAAAATGGCACGTGGTCCGAGTCACATAAACTTAGTTCAGGGGAGCACGTGTTCCAAAGCGCATATACTGTGACCAATGAACATGTGGTCCATATACCGGACATGCGCATTCATCAATATTTGATCGATCTAGATTTTGTTTACAGTCCGTGATAATGACGTTATATGTGTTTCTATATTGTTAAATATACTGAAGGCCTCGTGTATCTTGAAATGTAACAGGCAGATACAAATCTGTGAGCCGACGGTTTTTTTCAATACACAGTTGACAAATCAACAATTATATTATCGATGAAGGAATAAGATAAGGATAAGAACGGCTATTTTTACATCGTCATTCTGTATTGCCCTTGTGCACATATCTTGTCCATCAGAGTCACCTATGACGTCAGACTAGGGAGTCGGAACAAAAGGGCGTCGGGGCCAGTTTGGCGGGTCCCTGAAGGACAAAAATGGAGGCTTTGGTCTTCATCAGTTCATCTTATCATGGCGTGTTGAGTGACAATTCCTACAGTCGGGCTGTAGTGTATTTCTATATCGTCAGCATCTTATCGACCCCTAAACGTCAATCCTCCGGCTATTTTATCGAATCGACACACTAAAAATAGGATATCTTTGCTAAGCATAATTTGGTGTGTGTAAATTCCTATTGTTTTTGCCTAGTGTGTTTGTTCATGGTATCTGCCGATCACCGTGTACTGTCCCGCCAAATGAAGCGGCACCTGGCAAGGGCTGGGTTCTGCATTAGTGTACCGTGTCCTCTTGGCAAAGGTTCTACGCCGGAGCCGGGCATTCTCGTCCGATGACCGTCTGGAAATGCTCAAAGTCCGGATTGTTAAAAGGGAAGCCTGTTTCAAAGGCTGCAGTAATTAATTATATTTCTGAAAATTTTCCGGCATCCTACAACATAAACAACAATTGGGCGCCATGGGTTTTCATATGTCAAATATTTAATTGGACCTGCATCCGCATCCGGTTTAAAACATGTGACCACGCATGCGTGCATTTTAGGCCGTGGGATCGGTAGGGGAAGAACACTGCAAAGTGGGTTTTCAGTCAAAAATCTTTGGGTTTTTTTTGTTGGTTTTCTTTTCTTTTCGTTTCAAAGATGAAGGATTAGTGGTGTTAAAAAGGTGACAAAAGTTCAAGTGATCCACTTAAAATTCCAATTAGAATCACATCCTATAGCGGCGTTGAACCTATTGTAATTAGCGCAAAAACACCTTGCTTAATATCCCATTTACATTCTAAGTAGGCGGTAAAAAAATTGTTGATTCAGTATGCGTTTGACCTTTCATTTCGTACATGATTAAATTAGTGTCCGTTCATACGTATATGTCATAACATCTGACGGTCCCGACTGCTAAGTGAACGGTGGCAGCGTTGATGCTTAATTCATTAATTCGCAGACCGTATATATGTACCGGGACTAATTAGACTCGACATGTCCGGTGGGTCGTTGCGACTAATTGATTTCTCACGGCTGACCGGAGCTAGTGGCTAACGAGACTGGACGGGAGCCCGTCGCTCTGATCAGCTGAACACTCGTTATTTAGTGTCATTTCGGTCACGTGTCACATATATATATATCTAGCTAGATCTAGACTCAATCCCCGCCTCCAATAATGTAGGTGCGTTTGTTTTTCATGATTGTTAATCGCCACATATTGAGCTTCATTGAAATCCTGTATAAACAAACGTGGCGACTTCATATCTAACTCGGATTTTAATACCCGTCCTGTGTTTTGTTACCCTTACAAAGGGGGTGGAGACCGGTCTCCTATCGCTTCTAAACCCATTCACAGACAACCCAGATAGATTTATTTTGATGAAAAAATCCTAATTATAAAAGTGCAACTAGTTATAGATTGCACTTGTTGAATTATCACTCTAAACTAATGTTTGGTTAAATTTTAATAAGTTATTTTTGATAAGTGATGAAGCAGTGTAGGAGGGCAAACGGCCAATCGAGTATTCGTTTTCGCCCCGATTTTCCCTCCCCTCCGTCTCTTTACCATTGGGCAGTGGTAATATCCATAATTTTCGAATTTCATTAAGGTTGATTACCTGTTTGAGTCTGATTCCCAAACGCGCTGTTCCCACCAAACTGAATTAAGGCGACGGTCCCTAACAAAGGGACAGTTTTAGTGAGCTACCCGGCAGGCGCCTTCTCACCGTTTTTTCTTACTTGTTTATTGCATACGAATTAGCTTTGCAACAGTTGGTTTTTCTTAGTTCATTTATCCCGTTTTGTTGAGCGGGGCACGACGTATAGCATCACAGACCCCTCGTTAGAAGCGAGGTGACGTGTATTGGCGACAGTGCGCCAGCCCTAGCCCGACCCGCCGAGCGACTGTTGTGATTGAGTGACTATTGAGCCGAGCAGATATACGATGAAAAAGCTGGATTTTATGTCTGTACTATTGCATATTAATGGTATTGTATTGGCGCGATGCCTTAAACCCCTCCTACTTCTCCATGGCTAGCACGTGAAAGCCGTTACTATAAATTTATTGTATGCGAGTCCCCTCCGCTGTTTGATCTCTCCACATTGCAGACTTTTTGCCTCGTTAATACGCTGAATCGCTGGCTCCGGCGGTACTGCTCCCCCCAAACAAGTTTGATGACCGTGGTCCGAGGGACGGCCTACCAGAGGGGGATGTGATCATAATATAGCGACCGCTCTCCACTGTATACCAGTAACTACACGATCGTCCTGTGAGTCGGACTTACCTGCCGGAGATAGCGGAGATATAAACCCGGTTTGATAGATCTTAATAGCATTACTACATGTACATAACAAACCGTGTGACTGAACACACTTCTCTAGCAATATAGAATTTAAAACGAACGGTGTGCCCGCCAGTAAAGGTCCGCGTCTAGACTACGTGTCTCTCATAGCCTTTTCTGTGTATACCTGGACGAGAAAAAGGCATTTTACGTGAAAACAACTTATACATGTAGATAGATATATATAAGAAAATATGTTGAGATGAATTCATAACAGTAGTGTGTTTACCGAAGAGGACACCCGACCGATTGCTGATAAGAAACCCAATGTGGTATGGGCAAAGGGACATTGCCAGTATTGACGGAAACTAATGTGACCACACTATGACCTGGTGAGTGACTAATTAATTTTGATGTCATTATAAAGGGCTAAAATCTATGAATAAAAATCTTATCTTTTCTCTTGTCATAATGTATTTATTTAAACCGCGTAAGACGTAACGCTTCAACTTGCGATTGAAGATACGGCATCTGACTCGCGTGCGCCAAAAGCACGTGTTATACATAATGTGCCTCTTGATTATGGAAGGTAATTTGTCGTAATTCAAAAACACTTATACAATCTTTATTAATATCTTTTTTATAGAACTTAACACATTTTTCATTTCCAGTGTAATAATGGTTAAGATTTTCAGTATTGTTAAAACTGATATCTAACAATTTTACGAAAATATTACTGCTTTTTTGATCTATCGATATCTAATGTGAATCAATAATTTCTTTTATTTTCTGTTGACAATTAAAACAATTTATTACTATATAAAATGAATATTTGACGTGACTACATTTCGATTTATACCTATATACAGATGTTATAGAATTATAAATACTCGAGTATCGATTAATTTAAAGTTCAATCTCGTACGGTTCTAAACTTTAGCATGTGTTCAACAACCTGTCCTCGAATTGATTTTGGAACGTTTTGTACGAGATTTTTTATTAAATTGGGATTTGTTTTCTAATAATTGTTAAGTAGTTTTTTAAAGAGGCGTATTTATAGTTAGGGGATTGTGATTTATCACTGGTGAGTAAAATACGCATTTTTTTTTCAAAAATAAACAAACACGAATTGTTATTTTGGCTATTTGCTGTGGGGTGGGGGTGGTGAGGGGGAGGTATAGCGTCGATATTTTATCATCGGACGAGAAACAAATGTATTAGGCACAGCAACAATACATATGTGATCCAGACGATGATTTAAATAAACCACTACTACGTTTTTGGCAAAGTGTAGCGGTGTTAGTGCTGTATTGAGCCCAGAAGCGTTACATCAAACCAGAGACCCGAGCAACATGTCTTTATGATACTGGTACTGGGCCGATCATGTTACATTGTATGGTGTGTGTAAGGTATCTTCAATACCTGAGATCGGAATGATTTAAGTTATAAATCGTCACAGATGTACGTAATGAGTAAGATGCAAGCTTTTTGATCGAGTGGGTTTTTTTTCGTTTTTTTCATTTCCGTCACCATATTCATTATGAATTTTTGTCAAATGAATTTATTATAACTCATTATAATAAAATTTGAATGGAATTAGCGTTTGTTTAACATATCTATATAATCAGGTTGGTTTTGTTTATAATAATCAATAAATTATGCCGATCGGGGTTGAGAGGTGGCAAGATTGGATCCTATGTCACACCCTCACTAATGACTGATCCGTACACTTGAGCCACACTTGTCACCTTCACTGACCACCATTACAGGGAGCTGACCACACAACACCTCGGTAATGACCACAGCCCAACCCACGGGGAGTGGACACTAGCCATAACCTTGATCAATCTTATTTTTACTTACTATCCTTACTGGATTTTCATTTAGAAAAATAGCACAGGATTTTTTAGATTTTTTTTCCATATCTTTAAACATGTTTATTTTTTTCCCCTGATATGACGTCAGTTGTTACTAACTATATCATATTTTATTCATATATAAGTTGTGTCGTCTTTACATTGTATTTTCATTACCAATTTGTAGGTTCGCTTGATTTGAGAGAATGTGTGTTTCAGTTTCCCGGATAATTTAGCTTGTGACTTTAACTTTCTTTTTCTTTTCCTGTATTTGGAGAATATATGCATTTATTTTTGTTAACTTATTCTACATTTGTTTCGATTTCCTAAATATCTTATTTGACGGAACAGAGACGGGACTCGCGAGATCTTGCGATGTTGGTTCCAGTCTAAATGTTTCGTCACTAAATACTTTCCTTCAAAAACATTTTGCATCCCAGTATATTAATTAATAAGTTTTTCTTTGTTCTAATTTGATAAATCACATGTTTACGTTTAATTGTTTGCTGTTGTAGATTGTCACCTGATCGAGTGATGAAGTTGAGAGCGTGCGCGCGCGCCGCCCTGCGGTGTATTGTGTACCTGGGATGTATAATCGGACGGACGGGAGCGGACCGCGAACATTGGAACAGCTTACAAGAAAACGATGTGTTTTCGCCGGACGATAATTCCGGAAACTCTATAAAATTCCATAATAAAGAGCGACCAGTACCATCGGATGAGTTACCCGTGCTACAGCTGGTGGAGAACCCCGATAATTCCTTCAACCCCACAGAAAGGGACACCGATTATCGGCAGTTACGGAGATTACTAGGACATCATTTCGATAAAAAATTCATGTCGACAGTGAGACCTTTAGAAAGTGTTATACGTCCAAACGGAACGTTGGATTTTAAACTTAAAAAGGGTCGACCGAAGGAACGGAGACCTAATTACATCAAGTTTTTCGGCACGCCAGTGTTTACAGGTGTTGGTAGTCAGACTTCGAAACTGCGCGTGAGCAGGCGGACTAGGAAGAAAATCCAGAAGTATCTGTGGAGTTTTACTCACTGCCCCGTGTTTCACACATGGAAAGACTTGGGGGTGCGGTTCTGGCCGCGCTGGATAAAGGAGGGACAGTGTTACAAGCGAAAGTCGTGTTCCATACCTCCGGGGATGACTTGTCGCCCCAGCGGATCCACCTCAAAGACGATCCTCCGGTGGCACTGTAGAGACTGGCAAAAGAACGCCGTGTGCCGATGGATACACATAAACTACCCCATCATCACGCGATGTTCTTGCGCGTGCTGACATGTGAAACGGGATATTTACTTCTCAATGAAGTTATTTATATCGACGATATTTATTTTCTCGTTTATGGGTTCATGTTCAAAATGGACGTGGATTTATACTGCTGTACAATACTAGTGATACACAATGTTTAATTTATTCTTAATGTGCGCGACTGCCTCTAAATGGCCGATACAAGGCTGGTGTCGGCTGCTTCGTGCAATGGACGTGCGCTCTTCGGAGTGACTTGACGTATTCCTTATATGTCAATGCACGATCGTTGTTGACACCAGCACATCTTCATGTGTTGATAAACTATGGTTCTGTAATTTTTACGACTATCTCGTGGTCCTGATGTCTCGAACATCATCGGAACACTAATGTTATCATGTTTTGTTATTAATGAATTTAGTCACCAATTTGTCGTCTGAGTTCTGTTTTATGTGACTAAGCTCGTTCTGTGTTATTTAATTAACGTCATTGTTTCGCGCTCCACGTAGATATCATCTTATATTCATGTCAAACAGATCATTAAGGGCTTTTTGAAATTCATAAATCAAGCGACGTTTCCCAGCGCGTGGCGTCTGCGGGTGTAAGGCGATCTACCCAGGAACACAACTGTAGATTTATATGAAGTAGGCATTGAAATCACTGCCTTATCATTGTCCATAACTGTTTGACAGATATAGATGTTTTCATACATTTAATAGAACAGAGTTTCACACACACTGTACTTGTCTTTTCGCAAATCAAGGACAACACACATACTTTACAATATCTCTGATATTCAAACATGTTTATTCAAATATTTAAAAAAAAAAAAAAAATGAAGTGTATCAGATTATATACGCGGTGGGTGTTGTAAAGCTTTATGTTAGGGATTCGAACGCCTCAAGAGTAACTGAAGAATTTGTCAATAAATAAATTCTATAACGCAATTTCCTTGCATAGAAGCATGCAAGCAGTAAACTCGCATGCTTTGTTGCTACCCATAGCACATTAATTACGTCGACAAAAAGAACTATTAAAAAGGAATTAAATGACTGCATTCATTTCGGGAATTTCCGTTCTTTTAGCTACATTCTTCTGGGGACTTTCCGGTTTTTTTTTATAAAGCGACTGAAATCGACCCCGACATCTTTTGTTTGAACAGCTTTGTAAGCCTATGTGTCCTTGTGCTGACGAGCGATAGGTAAACGTGTCCGATACATTATCAAGGATAATGTCTGACGGAGGGGGTTGATCGCGTAATGTATATTATATAGTCAGTGACTTTGTAATACAGTGTATAAACCTATACACTAGCACTGATAATACTCTCGGTGGCTGTGTGATGCAATACTTAAACAATATACAAAATGTATCTATACACTAACATGAACAATACTCTCAGTACGCTATATGATACCAATTCAATGTAAATGTATTAAATACAATGTACATACAATATAACATCTACAATATAACATTTACATTCATCTAGGTGGCGTTGTAATACAAGGTACAGTACATGTACATGTATAAACCTGCACTGGTATGGCGATACTCTCAGTGGCTATAGGATACAATGTATAATGCATATATATATATATATGTCTCTTCAGTAACAGTGGCAAAATATTAGCATTGACTTTGTCATACAATGTACATGTATAAACCTACACTAGTACTGGCACTGACGATATTCTCAGTGGCTATATGATATATAGTATAGTATATACGTGTATTCCGTCTTTGCGTATTGCAGAGGTATCTTCTCTTGTGAGCAGATATTGATTGTAACGTCATTGGGTTGTGTGAGAAAATTACGTCGTTTTCTCCAAAAATGATGACGTTACTCTCACAAACAAATGACGTAACAATAAATACCTGCTCACAAGAGAAGATAACTCTGCAATACGCAAAGACGGAATATGCCTTAATACAAAAACATGGACAATATTCTCGGTGGCAATCTGATTAAAATCATCTGTTACATGGCTCCGCCTGGCTATGTACAATGAAAAACAATGTATATACATATCTACTCCGGCGTGAACGATATGTGCCTATGTATTATATTGTAAAATACCTATACTAGCATTGACAACATTTCTCTCTTGCTTTATAATACACTGTAAAACAACAGTGACAATATTATCAGTAGATATCTAAAACAATGTTAAGTACTGTACAATATAGTATAGTTTTATGTATTACAATCTACAATCAATGGGAGTTGTAATTTATCAGGGGTCTTTTACGTGTACAGATTTGAGGGGGAGAGAGTTTTAAAACAATTGTTCGCAAAATTGTCTTTGGTCATTTTTTATGAGAGAATTCCATTATCATACGAATCCTTACAATGTATCTTCAAAAGTTATCTTCGCTATTCATTGATATGACGGTGTAACGTTATCGCGGTTGCCGTAATTAAGCCATTTATCATCGTTCGATAACAGATTGTAACAAGTGCGACCCGGACAGACATACGGTCTGACCACTGGGACAACAGGACGTATTTTAAAAGAGAGATATAGTGAATATACTTAATTGAAAGTGTATTCAAGACTCTGCCAGATATGTTTATACTTATTAATAATCATCCTCGATACGCCAGGGGTTATGCTCACTAACGCACTTACGCTCTCTGAGCGTAAGTGAGCGTAACCCCTAGCGTATCGAGGATGAGATTCCTAATGTCCATTTACTATAATTTTTATTCACAACTTCACGATGACGTAATGTGCAGTATCATTTAGAAACCACTTAGGTGTACCACAGGATGTTGTGGTATGAAGATACACAAAAACACCCGTAATATTGAGGCCACTCCGTAACTTACTATTACAGACAACAGTTACATATTGCTACAACGAGTACTAAAGGTCATATTCAATTTGATATGTATCTTATTTATTAAAAGCAATTACGACTGTTTGCCCCCTTTCAGGCGAGATATGCTATTGTCAGCTGCTCCATCGCATGACCGACACTTATACTTACAGATACACTTGTGTACAGCGAGGTGCGTTCGAATACAGACATGCCGGGGATCGCCGCTCCAGCAAACAATTTGGCTACGATTTCACGATTGCAACTAAATTAGAAACTGTTGTCGAGATAAAATCGTCATGAATGGCGTGTTTTCATTCATTAAAATCAGAATGGAGAGGTTGTCTTCCAGTCAGCGATTTTTTAATCACGTCAGGTTGACAATACGCGGTACGTAAAGGCTGTTAAAGCTCTTTACACAACACCCCTTTAATTATAGACGGAGAGCAAAACAAAAAAGAAGAATAATATCTGCACGTTAGGCATAAAATACTTGTATTACTGTTTCGAGACCTGGTTACTGTATCACAAAACTTTGTACTTTTAAGACGTTCTCAATTCCTAAAATCAGATCTATTTTTAAATTTAAATGCCGCATTTCCGTAAACATTTAATGAAGTAGTTGAACAGTTATGTTGGGAAATCACCTCTTGACTTGAAAAAGTGGATGAATCTCAGAAAATCTTAAACCATATTACTAATGTTTAACATTCTAAACGATGTCTTTTTTAAAATTGGATATAGTTTAAGCTCGCAATGTATTTGAAAGAGTAAAATATTTACGCTGAAAACTCACCTTTTGGCGTAAACAGTGGATGGATGGCAGAATCCTAATCTTTTATATAATCCTTATACTATGAGATACCGTATTGCATTTAAAGATATCTTTAATTCATTTAAATATTACAATTACCTCTCCCTATTTTCACGAATTTCTCTCATACCTTTGCGACCCTTCTGTGTATGAAATGTTGAGTTACCTTGCCATAAAAACAGGATTCTCGCTGTAGTGGCGAACGATATATAATGTAAATGCTGGTGGTCACTATATATCTATTGGTTTAGGACGTAACTTTCAGTAACGTATTGTTGTTGCAGCATTCATAACGATATGTTCTTCGTAAAATTCTGAATGTTCTAACTAAAATAAATTACAAAAATTTACAGCTGTGATATTACACATTGGAGCTATATTTATAAGATATATTCTTCGCAAGACTCCCAATGGTTTACCTTATTCCTCTCAGGAGTTACGGGTAGACTGTGGTATGACACATTTATTGCCAACATTGTAGGGCAAGACGACTGTTTGTTTCTCTGAGATCAGTCAAATTAATGCCAACGTGAAATATACTTAATCTCGGAGAAGCAACTATTCGTGTTTACATAAAACAATGAAATTTATATCAAATTATGCTAACATAAAACAGTAACACAATGGTGATGATGATCTTGTTGAATCGCCATGGCTGACGTCTGATCAAGCCACTCGGCCCTCGGTTGTAACGGCTTTTACTAATTTTCCTAGAGAGACTCCGAATATACATGTAGGACATTTGAACGAGAATATTCGAGCCCGAGAGGTATACACGACGGTTCATTGCTACGTCATGTGATCAATATAATCCAATCAAAAACGCTGATATATAGACGAGTTACACTGTATATTAATAATGGATATATTCAAGAATCTACGTTGTCAGAATATTTCTATTGTACTCGAAGCATAATGGGGCCATACAATCTACAAGAAGCGGCAGCATGTCTCACACAAACTTGAAACATCAAAATGCCGTTTGTTTTAGGCGGACACGGAAAACGTGGATACATGATACAGAATGTTATTGAAAGAAAATGTATCCATCCAATTATTTTCAGCGATGCCAAGCACTTTTGTACTCTCACCATAAACATGATGTTTACATGGATGAAGCTAAGTGGCGTTCAAAATGCGATATCGCACTAACAGCGAGGTCGGAAAACAATCAAACAAACTTTGTACACACATTGAGGGATGGCATTCACGATCTTAAACCCTAAACATTCTAATGATACTTCCGGTTGCCCACCGGGAGAGGTCCGAAAGTACATCGTGTAATTAATTCGCGGTTCCATTTGGTAACAGCACTACATAGGTTTTATTTCAGGAGTAAAACGCATCTTTTCAACATTTAATAATGTATGAAACACAGTTCCGTTCAAACATATTCCATGACGCGTGTTATGGAACTGTGAAGCATATCGTCATAAATGTTGACAAGATACATTTCAATCTTTATATTTACGTTCAAAGTAACAAAAGCAATACTATTTTTTGTGGTCTCATTCGGTTCAAAATACACTGATTACAAAAAAACTCTAAAATAAAGTTCTGAAGCAATTGGCAACAACTATTTTTGCGCGGACAAGATCTTTTAATTCCATGGTTATCAATTATGTCAGACGGCAAACGTCAACTGGGAAAATTTGAATTTGACGCCATGTCATGATTCTACCCCTATTACATACGAAGTTTGACGGACAGGTCCGATAGTTTCCGTAAGGAAAACATTAACGCGTGATAGCCTTTTATGTATGGAGTGTACAAATTAAATGAAAATATG